TCCTGCATTGCAGGCAGATTCTTTGCCGACTGAGCCACAAGGGAAGCCCCCTAGAGCTTCCCTACCTGCAGACAAGTCTGTAGGCAAGCCCGTTAGGAGCACAGGGAATTCAGCCGTGCACCAGGATGAGAGTTAGAGATGGGAAGTAGCGGGGAGCTAGTTCATTTTCTTAAACAGTTATGCCACTCAAAGATGCTGGGGGCTCAGAGCTTGAGGCCAAGAAGGAATCTTACAGGGTCAGCTACGTGACTGCGATAGAGGTCGAACTGAGTTACCCAGGAGCAGCATTGAAGAGGTGGGAGAAAACCCCCCTACAAAGCTTCTTACAGCAGGTCGACAGCATCGCTCGGAAGCACAGAAGGAAAAAAAATGACTAAGTGCTCCTCCCTCACCAAGAGGGACTCAGTCTTTTCTTGCATCCCAGAGCTAGCAGGAGAAAGCCTGTAAAGGCACGGGTGTAGCCTCAATGTGAGGGTGAGCCTGCACTCGTGAAGCAGGGGCTGGCCACTGTCCTGGCGAGTGAGGAGGCTGGCTGGAATGTCCTGCTCCCTGGGGGCCCGGCCCCCCACCCATAGACTGCGGCTGCTGACCCCTCCTCCACAGGTGCCCAGGATGCCCTCAGACGTCTGCGCTAGGAGGGGGCTGCCTCGTGTGTAATGGCTGAGGGAGTGAGTGGGCACAGTCCCCGTGGAGCATGTCCTCTCTGGTGGAGACATGCAGAAATCCGTGCAGTCCACACAGATGACCTCTCTACTGAGTCACGGGTCACACTCAGGTTCTGTTGCCGTTCTTCTGGTGCCCTGACCAGCCCAGCTGGTGCACACTTCGAGGATCAGTGAAAATAACCCAATGCTCCCTCCAGGCAAGTTTCCACATCTTATCTCTCTGGTCCCTCCCTTCTCTTGTGTGTTCTGCATCACTGGAATTCCTTGTAAATCCCAATGTTTTATCCTGTCTGTTAGACAGGGCCTTGCCTGAGAACAAAGGCAGAGCACAAGAGAGTCCCATGGAGAGTTTTTAATCCGTAAAATGGGAACAACCGATAATAGACTGGGTCCTGCCTACCGCCCTGGGGAGTTCCTGCTGAGGCAGTGGGGTGTAGTGGGTAATGACAGGGTTTCTGAGCCAGACTTCTGAGCCAGGTTCAGATCCCCAGGTCTGCCAATTATAACTATGACGATGGTGATGATGTTTTCTTGGGCACGTTACTTAAACTCACTTAATCCCAGTTTTCTCTTCTGGGAAACAAATATGTAAAGGTCCTTGCCTCGGGCTGTTAGAAGGATTATACCAAACAGTGTTTGTAAAGTACAGAACATACCGTGTGCGGCTCATGACACAACCTCAGTCACTGTGAGCAATGGTCTTAAAATGCTTAGTGAGCTGAGTGATGTGGATACAGCGTATGTTGTATTGAGGGGCCATTCTTCTCTCCACCTCCCCCAGCATGGCAGGAAGTAGGTCTTCAAATCCCTCAGTATGTGCCCCAAAGCCACAAAGCCACCCTCTGAGAGTTAAGTCACAAAACTATAAAGGTCAAAGACCACACCGGAGGTAAACACATCACCTTAGCGACACAGAGTGGCTCCAGGGCCTCACAGTGGGAGTGCACAAACATTCCCTTCTGTACCCGAGGGTCAGGCAGAAGCCCAGCTGGTTGGCAACAGACACAGACAATAAGAGGAGGTCGAGGGCACGGATGCCTACTGTGGCCAGAGAGAAGGGACAGATGCCCTGGGTGCTGCAGCCCAGTGTTACAAAACATTTGAACTATGCAACGCTGGGAGCAAGAGAGGCTGCAAACCAGAGGAAGTGGCGACCTGGGGCCCAGCATCTGACCACAGGCCCCAGTTCCTTTGGTGTGTGGTCTGGAGGAGCAAGGTCATGATCAGGCTGTGGCCAATCTACCAAGGGCCTCCCACCTGGTGAGGTGGGTCAGGCCAGCTCCCCTGTCCTCACAAGGTTTTCTTTCAAATCCCGCCCCCCCCCCAGAACATGTTTGCTGAATGAGTGTGTGACGGAACAGGTGGGTGAATGCGGCATCCCACTCATCAAGTAAAATGTGCTCTTGCTCCCCTTCAACCATCAAGGATCCAGAATCTTTAAGAAATACTGCTCTGGGGAAAAAAAAAAGAAATACTGCTCTGAAAAGCCAGGGAGAGCATCCTGTTCCACCACCCTGAGCTGCTGCTGGTTGATTGACAGGCTTGCAGCTTAATTTTCATCATTACACCTTCCAAATTTGGAAAACTCAGCAGTGGCCACAGGACTGGAAAAGATCTGTTTTCATTCCAATCCCAAAGAAAGGTAATGTCAAAGAAGGCTCAAACTACCACACAATTGCACTCATCTCACACACTAGCAAAGTAATGCTCAAAATTCTCCACGCCAGGCTTCAACAGTACATGAACCGTGAACTTCCAGATGTTCAAGCTGGATTTAGAAAAGGCAGAGGAA